TTTTAACTTGCCAACATTGATTAATTATTTTGTTTAGTAAATACTATTTCATCAATGATTACTATTTTTAGTGTTTGTTAAATATAAATAATTTGAATTGTTAAATAATATGTGAAAGAAATATATACAAAAATAGTTATGTCCATGGTACTGCTCATGTCTATAGGCGACGGTTACCACTTTCTATCAGGTGGGCCGTCAGCTTGTTTGCCATTCTAAGTTGTAAAAAAAAAAAAAAGTTATTTCTTTTCATTTTGTTCTACAAAAATACATCAAAATCAATTTTAAAAGTCATTTTATTAGTAAAATAAAGGTGGAATCAGTTTGAAAAGAATATTATTCAATTTAATTTGTTTGATAACTTTAACAATTTTTTTTTTTATTTAAATGTGTAGGATACAAAACAGGTCTAATTGTTTCGAACTATTTGGTTCTTTGTTTCTACCTTTATTCCTCTGTGTAGAACAACAACGACAACTTTCCGCTAACTGTAACAGATTCAAAGTTAACGGAAAGAATATAACAAATTGAAAACCTATCGATAATTTTTATTAATAGTACTTAACAACTTTCTCCAAGGAGTATAAAAGATGAGGAAATAATTTATATACTACTAACGTTCCACACCAGCTTCACACGGGAAGATTGATAGAAAGATAAATTACAATTTTAAATTAGTATTTTTCTTAGAACAATAAAAGATAATAATATTAAGCATAAGGCTATTTACTCACACCGTGGCATTTTTCTTACTTTTAACATTTTTATTTCCGTCGTAACTTCTAAGCAAAAGATCAGATTCGAATAATTTAAAGAGGAATTTACATGTACACAACCAACCTTGATTATGAAATTAAATAGTTTCATTTTAAGAAATATATACCTATCCAACTATATAGTTGCATAAGTATCATGATACGAATGCCATTATCTTTCGATTCTAGCGTTATGATTAACTATTTTGAAAATATTTTCTTATAATTATATTTGTTATGACTTTGTGACTTAAACATATTGTATAACCCCGGGAACTTTTTTGTAATTTTCGCAGCACACGCCATATACCTATAGTTAACGACTTTTATACCTTGGGTTATATTATTGCTATTTTATTAGAGCTAAATTGATTCCAATGAGATGAACCATATATGTATTAGATTTATATGTGGGGTTACAGTTACCCCTTTGTTTATAAAAACGTCAAACCTCTCATTAACGTATTTTAGCTATTAAAGTATTTTGTCTCTTTGTTTTGCACTAAATTCTCAATTTGAAAGTGACAAAGCACTGCAATAGTGAACTGTTTTATTTGCTTGAGGTTTTATTTTTTATGAATAAGGTTGATTGTCTTTAAATATTCGTAGTATAAAACAAGGTCACTGTCTTCATCTATCTATTTCTCTCTTTACTTCTGTGGAACGAATTTTAATAGGAATTACACTGGTATTTAAATGTTTCTTTGGGAGGTTTGTATAGGTTAGGTTACAATTTAGCAAGGCGCTAGCCCTTACTAAGTAATCATAAAATTTAGCTTATATGTAATATTAGAGGTGAAGAAAAATACTTTTTATCCGGGTCAATCAATATATCCTGATGTCATCGATTAAGTCGTTAAAAAATTTGTAATTAATATATTTTAATGTAAACATCAATAAATTAGGTGCATTTTTGTTATAACCTAATATTTATACTATTAGTGATATATTATTATTATTGATTTATTTTATATACAAATATATATAAATAAATAAATTAAAATCACAGTAGGTAATTACGAAATAAAAACACAGTCTATGGACTCTTACAAGAAAATATCTAGTCGCATATTCATATGTGACTGGCATGCAAATCTTGTTGCAATAATTTTGCAAACCAATTAAAAAGTGGAATTTATTTAGCGGAAATCGGTTAATATTGCATTAGACTAGAATTTAAATTTATAGAGCAGGACTTTACTGTCGCATTACCATATTATTATATTGCGGCCTTTTTAATGGCGAACATGAATTAAATAATCATAAAAGCGTTGCCTGAGTAAACAGGTTCTAAAGATTTCTAAACGGGTTTGCTAATTTGTTCATTTGTTTATTGTTTTTCAACTATTTTTTACTTAGAATGAAGGAGACTACCATTATCATGAAATAAATAGGGTATGTATTCCTTACTGACATAATTTATAAAGTAAGTTTATTTGTTTGTCATCTCTTAGTACTTTAACGGCTTAATCATTCATCATAGAATTTTATATAATATTTATCTTTGTCAATAGATTTATCCCGGTCTCGCAGATGAAATCTCATCTAGAAAAATATACCAGATTGAACTGAACATGGCTGCCTGATTGAGATCTTAATATATAAAAACCTTATGTTACGATGTTTGTTCATACTAATCTACGAAACCGCTCAGACGATATTAATGAAAATTTTGTTAATCTGTGGTGTTTGGTCCAACTTGAGAGATATATACCTAATAGTTTTATCTTCATTCGTATTGTCATATCAACGTTAACTGTCCACTACTGAACATACGCCTTCCCCATAAAGGGAGGGTTTTTATTGATTTATTTATTTATTCATTAGTACAAATATGTGTATATGGCGGACTTAATGCTAAAAGCATTCTCTCCCAGTCAACCATAGGGCAGTGTCAGAATACTCGAATGCGGTACTAGTAATTATTGATATACATATATAAACTAATAAATATATATGAATAACAAATATACATACATATGTGTATGATATATACTATATTTACATACTATTATACACGAAGTTTGCCAGTAGTTACCACGCTGCTAAACGTAGTAACGACGGTGGTATTTGGTGATGTTTTAAGAAAGACGCTACTACCCATCTCTCTACCATTAAGTTCCCTTATTCACCTCTTACGACACCAACGGGGAAGGAAGGGGTGGTTTATTCTATGCAAAGACCACACGGCAAATTTTATCCTGATAAAAAAAATGGACCCGGTGAATGGCGATAGGAAACATAACAACGTTTACCAGGTCAGCTAATAAATAAAATATTCTAATCTCATGCATAACACTTCGATACCAGAATAATGTGGGTCGCAAAAAACTGTAAAACTATTTCCATGCGCATATAATTTAATATTTATCAATGGGTTAATGTTAATTTGGTATTAGAATTAACCGTTATAATAATATACTGGTTGAATAGTTTAACGGTTTAACCGTTAAGTTATTTTGTATGCAACTAGTAACTTATTTTACAATCCCTTTAGTTTATATATTACAGTTATTATCAATTGTTTTATATCTATCTAGGTATGTTTATTATTTATTGTAATGCGTAGGTAAGTGATTTAGCAGTCATATAAAATTTCAATAATTCAATTCGTTCAGCCGCTTGATTCAGAAACAAACATTTGACACTAAATGTTACACTAATCATAATGGCGACAATTGACAATTGCCTGCGACTATCATATTTAGATTTAACTAGACATATGCCAATAAAGCATTTACTATACAAGATGATTCTATCGTCGGACACACCCAATTTGCACAAGATTGGGCAACGAGAAATCGGAATTTATGGAACACTTGACGTGTAACTCTGATTTGCTAGCAAGTATGCGTATGAGTCAACTAGGAGCAGCTTATCCAGAGCCAGGGAACTATTTATTTATTTTATTTAACTCTTTATTGCACCATAAATAAAAATATACAATGACAAGTGAATAATTCAAATGAAATACAGTAACATAAATACAGATTGAAATATACACATAAAGGTACAAAAGGCGGTCTTATCGCTAGGGCAATCTCTTACAGACAACCTTTAGTTAAGGGAGAACAGATAGAAAAGGGCAGGTGGCGCAAGAGTGAATCAACAATTTTCGTGCATAAAATACAAAAACATGTAATGCACAAAAATATCAAATACATATAATTTATTAAACTACTTACTATAACAATATATATACATACATACATACACATACACATACATATATATATATACATACATATACACATATAACATACATACAAAATACATAAACATACACATATAAATACATACATAGCACACACAAGGAAATATGACAAATCTAGTCCAAAAATTACATATATACTACTATAAACATCTTAAACCGCAGGATATTGCAAAAGTACACATAGAATCTATAAAATGATGATAAAAAGGAAGGGAAAGCACAAAAGATCTCCATGGGTCGACGTGCAAGGGCTTAGCTGACTCCATATGCGAATAAAAGATAAGATCACATTTAAAATTACGAAGAGTTGTGTGTATCTTTATTTTCTATTTTCTATCTGTCTACTAAATTTTAATCAAATCCATTGAACCTTACCCGTACAGATTGAATAACAAATATTTTTAATTTCTTATGAACTTTTACATTCATTGTACTCATATTAGAAGGATAGTTAATACGAGAGACATAACAAAGTAAGAGCACAAAGAACAAAAAGGGTAAAATCAATTATTCATGAACAAAACGATAATAGAGGGAATATCTTTGTACAAGTAGGCAGGCGTATTGAAGGCAAACTGCCTCTCTTTTCCGATTAATGACATCAGAAGCCGCCTTGAAAACGAATGTTTGCCGAGTTTAGATCAAATGTATATATATCCAAAAATGTGTATTTATATATGACGTGTTTACAAAAATAAAATAAATAATATTATTTATTTTGAATATTTTTTTTGAATAAATTATTATTATACAAAAAACATAAATATGATATATAAATGTTTGTTAACCGTTGGCACTGTTTTGCGATAAATAAGCCTAAGTATTAGATTAATATCAACATCATGAAATATTTTTTTACTATAAAGATATGAAAATTATCAAATCAATAATGAATAATGTTATAAAACGAATATTTTTAAAAGTAAAGAACATTTTTATTGATTTTTTTATATAGATATTTTAATTATTTATCTATTACTTTATTTATTGAGTTGTCAACAATGAATAAATAAATGAGTTGATTTTCTTACCTAAAACTTTTGGTACAGTAAAGATGTCCCAGATCTTTTTAGACTCTGTAACAAAGAAGAAATATACGTTATTATAATTATTATAATATTAAGCATAAGTAAGTGCGAGGTGGAATATTTTTGAATTGAGAACTTGATTATGCTTTGTAACAAGCAATTTTTTGCTTTGCACGCTGACAGGTCGCGAGCAGAAATTAATATTAATTCATACATATATTGACGCCAGCAAGTGCATAAAGTACCACTTTAACCGACATTGAGTTATATACATATATCATTGAATTAAATTTTGTTTCTGCATCGAATGGTTTATTTAATAAATTAACTAAAGCATTAGGTGGCAATTTAGACAATTCACAAAATGACCAACATAATTGTTTGCACTCAACAACTTTTGGTTATTTTCTATTTTTTTAAATTTTCTGAATTCACACAGGTAGATTGATTTTTCAAAAATAATATATAGCATAGATCGATCGCGGATATTGTAATTTTCCATAAGTGAAAGATTTTTAAAATTCGTTCAATAATTCTTGAGTTTGTCCATTACAAACCAACAATCAAATCTTTTTGTTAAAAGTAAAAAGATGTCACATTAATTATTTTAACTTAATAAACATTTACTATTTTAATTTTGCTTTTTTGTTTCCTTTCATTTTTATGCTCTACTGTAAAAGTCACTAAATAGCGCTTAATTCATTCTACCTTTCCAGCGTAAATATATACACAGTATCACTAGTGTTTCTCTAGAGATTCGTCCTTGTTTTAACACAAATACCTCAGATACGCGGTCATAAGCAAATTTGCATTTGTTGGGTTGTTTGACCTCGGGCCGTGTCGAGTTGTAGGAACGCGGAGAGAAAACAGGCGTATACAATATATGTATAGTGGATCCGTTTAATTACATTTACTAGGTTTCACTTACTGTTTGTGCAAATAACAACATTGTGGAAATTTATGTGCGCCCACAATTCACTGGAGAAACCATCATCATATCTCAGGATTACTAGGTGACACGTTGTCTACGACGTTCATTAATTGTGCAAAAAGACCATGTTCTAGTACCTTTACATTAACTGTGTTTAAATTATCTATATTAAAAGATGTTTTAGTATATAGCAAAAATTTATATTGCACTGAGCAAGTTTTTATTTTTTATTTAATCACGAACACACGTATTTTACGAGAAATTTTTTTAAAAAGATTTTCTTTAGAAAATAATAAATTATTGATATATATTATTTTTCAAAATATATAATAATGATTTGTTCTTTTTTTTAAAGAATAGAATAAGTCTTGACCTAACTTAATTTGAAATTTTGACAGTGTGGTCGGTTTCAATAGAGCTCGTGAAGTAGAACAAGGTGCCGCCATTTATTAAATCTGTTATCTATGTTGTTACTGTAAAAGATGTTTTATGACATGTTAATTTTAATTAAAATTAAAATTAATGAATAACTAACCATGTTTTAACGGAATTATTATAGAAAATCTCGCCAAATGAATTTATTAACATATCGAAACATTCAATTAATTAATCAATTTTTTATTTGTACTGCTATTGGAGGACATCAGCGGACTATCTATGATCGTAATCAGTTATGTTTGTTTATGTTTTCATTACATAAGTTATATTTAAATAGACTATAGAAACAACCATTAATGCAAGTAAATGTAGTATACATATTTTATATATCCTTAGTATATGTCACTGTTAAAGCTCGTGTACTAGTAAATCTTTACATTTTATTAAAAAAGATCATTTTCAAAAGATCAGGTTGTTACCAAACTAAACTTAGCCTATCTTTCTTATCACGTGTACTAGCACCACGCACTAAACTGGTACCATATATATGTATAAAGCTATATAGCTTTCTAGAATATTATTAAATTGTAAAATTAAGTTATTGTTGTTACATATTTTTAAATAAATAAATACCAATTCGAGTCATCTATTCACGCATAATACGAGTATATTTGAATTCTAGAATTTACAACTGTCTTTTGATTGATATTGGCGTCAATAAATTACTCGATGTCAACTTATATTACTCACTATTTGATACTAGTTAGCAGAGAGAGAGATTCTAGTCGACTTCGCATGTTTAAGACGTTAATTGGACAGATACACGAATGTACTACAGATCTTTAGATCTGTGATCTGTAGATAACGCTTCTAACTAAGAGATTTCTGTATTTATATACTAGTATATGTATCTGCGACTTCGTCAGAATGCTCTAGACATATGTATTAACAAGAAAAAAGTTATAGTTATGCAATAGTAATAAGTATTTTGCATAAATAGATTTTGCTCAGAAAAAAGAAAGGCACTACAATCGTAACAAAATTATTATTGTATAATAATCTCACTACCTTTATTTTAAAACGGTTACGCGAATAACGTCATGGACACGGTTAATTTAATTATAATCCTTACTAATATTTTAACCTTTTTATTTATAAAAACGTCAAATTTCTCATAAACCTATTTAGCTATTGAATACTTTTTTCTTTCTTTTACAATAAATTCCAACTTGAAAGAAAGTGACAAAACAGTGTAGTGCAGTTAGAGTATATTTGCAGTAGGTTTTAGTTTTAAGGATAAAGGTAAATGCGAAAATGAGTTTGTTTGTTACATTTTGATACTTTATAATAGACTAATTTTTATCCTGGTCAATGAATCTTGGAATCTGGTTCTATGAGCAATGTCTACAGAAAGTCTTAGTCTAAAATTTTAGATAAGGACTAGATTAAAATATAATTAAATACTTTGGCTTTTCAGGTACGCTCATAATTCCCAAAATCCAAAGTCCATGAAGAGAAATTAAATAGTTTTTTAACTCATTAACGCCACTTTTAGTATTTATTTAATAAATTAATGTATCCTGTCCTCTAATGCATTTTAGGAGCAAAGGTTTTTCATCGGCCAACAATGGTAAAAAACGAAGTAGTGTGTGGAATGCGACCGGTCAGTCGGCTGCCTCACCTTGAGTGGAGGGCGACCACTCGCACACTATACCGCAAACCACTGCACCAAACAATGGGCACCACGGACCATAGACTATCTATGCAGTGAAGCTATTAATTTATGTTGCAATTATAATATGTTGATTTAAACCTTTTTATAACATACCGATAATAAAAAGACTCATGGAAATCAGGTCAAAAATCTTGAAAAAATCCGTATTTAATGTACTTACATGTGTACTTAAATTTTATGATTTTACTACATAATAAGAAATAGCATAAAGTCTCAAGCAACTTCAATCATGATAAAATATGGAACCAACATTGGAGTAAATGAAGTCCAATCCGAAGTATCATTCTCTGCCTTTAAAATTGAAATTTCAATTTGATGTTAAAGGAAAATAATTACTCTAAGGACCTATAAACTAACCTCCTTATTTATAAAAACCAAAACCTCATACAAACCTATTTCAACTATTACACTGTTTTCTCACTTTCATTCAAACTAAGAATTTAACACAAAAGAAACAGACAAAACAGTTCCTTAGCTAAAATAGGTATATGAGAGGTTTTTATGAATAAGGGGATTAGTTTTTATGGATAAGGGGGTTTTTAGTAGTAATACGTCTTAACTACATTACGTTTAATTATCCGTTTTAAATTTATTCTCATTACTCAAAATTAATATCTAGTTGCTTATATTATTCATACGTATAGTAAAAAATATAAGCGAATTCAAAAACTCCTTTTTGAAGTCTAAAATAAATAATAAGATTAAAAATTAATTCTTGTGTAGACGAGGACATTTTGTATGCTATTTTTTTTTTGTAAATTTTGCATGCTTGTACTCAAATGTAAGGCTTACACTACACTTACAACAATTAACAACACAACAATTAACTAATAGTTGTCAGAACTCCAAAACTCGTATAGCCTTTCTCGATACAAACAGTGTAATCGAAATTATTAGCATTTTCTGAAGGGAGCGCTTTTCTTATTTTTTTTTTTACTGTTATAGGGTCCCGCGATTGATCACGATCTCGTCTGATGGAAAATGTTCTAACAATGAAATTTAATATATTCTCAAAGGAAAGAGCGACAAAAAAATTTTGAACTTCCCTAACGACATGGCGCGTCAAATTGTTAAATTAGTATAAGAGATTTTTTATTTTTTTTATGGATGTTAATGGAATGGTAAGCCCATCTGCGTTAACGGTATACACTGGCAGGGCACCAGTGAGAAATGAAATGGAAGCTGCAAGTTAGCCCATCGTAATGGATTCACCTGGAATTCAGCACGATGATTTTTCGGGGGGACCACGTGGAGGTAGGCTAACAGGGTATATTGCTAGCAATGAGACTGGTAGACTGCATTACTAACAAACCCGTCTCTCTCCAGTATGGGAGACCAAAACGTTTTACTTATTAGCTGTACGATTTCTATTTTACCCTGTATATACGCAAATACCGTTCCAGTCCTGTAACTTGTCAGTAACCTATAAAAGGAAAGTACGTGCTTGCTATTCAATTTAGTAAGGTGAGAAAATGTATGGGCTATCGACAGTTGGTGGTAAGTATCCAAGTACTAAATGTCGGTACAGGCATTCCGTTCTCGGTGACTATTATTTGCCAACCTTGCTTGCTTTCGCCAAGGTGGAGAGGTCAAGCCTCAAGCAAATGTATGTAGACCTCATTTCACTAGTTAATGCTTACTTTGTATTAGATTTGTTAGTGAACAACTTATTATTAAGAAGTAGAATGGTAGCGTACTTATGAATGAATTGATATTATTTGAGAATATTTTTATTTGATACCAAACATATTTGTGTTTCCAAATCGACTAATTAGTTGCAAAATTTCTGTTTCTATTAATACACCCTACAATTCAACTATTGATTTCAGTAAAGACATCGCGAATTCTGAACCGATTTTGATAATACTTTTTGTAATCAATAGGGTTTACTCTTGTCGTTTATAGGGTTTAATACTGAAGACAGGATTTCGTAACACTAAATAAGAAAATGCATTTATATATATATATATATATATATATATATATATATATATATATATATAT